GCCACCTGAAACTTGGAGACCAGGGGTGAAAAGCCAGGGGTGTAATTCCAGCCTAGTCCTAAGGCCTGAGAACCAGGGTTGCTGATGCTGCAAATCCCAGTCCAAGGGCAGGAGAAGACCAATGTTGCAACTCATAGGCAGGCAGGAAAGGAATGAGTCTGCTCTTCCTCTGCTTTTTCTTTTCAGGCCTTCAACAGATTGGATGATGCCCACTGGCTTTGGGGAGGGTTATCTACTTTACTGAGTCCACTGATTCAAATGCTAATCTCATGTGGAAACACCCTCACAGACATACCCAGAAATAATATTTAATCTGGGCATCTCATGGCCCAGTCAAGTTCTCACATAAAATTAATCATCACACTGGTCTAGGAAACCAACTTTCAGCACACACACACACACACACACACACACACACACACACACAGCTGGACACTGGTTGTTCTGAGTATTGAAATGATTGGCCATATCCTGTCCTTTGCTCAGGCAAGACAATGGGCCCTGTGAATAGGCAAATGGCCCTTGATGTCAAGTTAAAGAGATCCTGAGACAATGTCTTAGTAGGAGACACTGTTTTCCTGGATCCTTTGCATATCACTGTAAACTTTTCTCTGGGCCACCTGCATCTACCTGGGTCACCCATCCATGTACCAGGGGTCGATAGTCCTTGCCCCCAGAAATTCAGCCAGGTTTCCCCAACACCCTCCTTGCCTCCCAGCAACTGAGCAGCTGTTATGTCACGCTGACAAGGTGAGTCGCCAGAGCAGCCACAGGGTGTGGGAGCTGCAGTAATAACTGCCTCTCCACTGACCTTTGGAGCCTCATGGCTGCTGCTTCCACTTCTGCCTTCTCTTGTGGTCAGCTTTAATTTGGAATCAAATGAGGAAGGAGATTCTTGGAAATGTAGTTCTCAGATCAAATGAAGGCCTCAGATCACCATTTTAGTCCTTGAAATATAGTATGTGGAAAAATTCATCTGGCCAGTAAACCTCCTGGCAGTAACCTCCTATTACTTTTTCCCTATTAGCTGTGACTTGCATGGCTACTATTTTGGTTATTTATTGCTGCACATCATGCCACCCTACAACCTGGTAGCCTGAACAATCATTTTATTCTTTCTCACAGTGTTGGTGATGTAAACTGGCCAGAGCCCAGCTAGGCAGTTGCACTCTTAGCTTGCTTTGGGCTCTTTCAGGGAGTTGTGTTGAGATGGTGGCTGGAACTGGGGCTGGGTGTCTGACCCTCAGATTCCTCTATGCATCCTCTGTCTTCACCGGAGTCTCTGAATTGCTTACATAAATGCCCAGGAATCTGCAAGGCAGGAAACTACCAGGCCTTCTTAATATATGAGGTCTCAGAACACCTTGTTCTCCACATCCCGTTGATCAGAGCACTTATGGAACAAACCTTGATTCAGAAGGAGATAGGGACACCTGGGTGGCTCAGTGGTTGAGGGTCTGCCTTTGGCTCAGGGTGTGATCAGAGGGTTCTAGGATTGAGTCCCAAATCGGGCTTCCTGTAGGGAGCCTGCTTCTCCCTCTGCCTGTGTTTCTGCCTCTCTCTGTGTATCTCTCATGAATGAATGAATGAATGAATGAATGAATAAAAATAAATAAATAAATAATTTTAAAAAAAATAAAAAAGAGGCGGAGATAATAATAAACTTTATATCATAATGAGAGGAGTTCCGTGTTTGTATAAAGGATGGGTGGTATTGTTTGGGGTTGTCTTTGGAGTCAGTTCCTACAGCTATTCATCTGTCTTCAGTGTTGACTGCCTCCCCTTGGGGATTACCCATTTCTGCTAGGGATGTTCAGAAAATGAAATGGAACCAGATATGTAAAAGAGCAACACAGAACCTTCACTTCCCCTGATCTTGGACCACTGACAACAGCCTGGCATTGTCTGTAGGACACTTCTGAGGGTGGATAGGATAAGGAGGAGAGACTCAGGTCTTCCCTTCCCCTGAAATTCCCCTCCCAGGTAGACCCAAGTCCTCCACAGCACATCTGACATGCTGACTGTCCAGACTCCAGACCTAGCATCCCTGTTCTGTGTGATTGGGCCACTCCACAGAGCTGTGGACATGCCTGAAGTCAGCACTGCCCTCTGAATCAGCACCACAGACAGCACCACCGTGCTTTCTAAGAGCTACCCATAGGTAAGTTCTTTTTTTTTTTTTAATTTTTTTTAATTTTTATTTATTTATGATAGTCAGAGAGAGAGAGAGAGAGAGACAGGCAGAGGGAGAAGCAGGCTCCATGCACCGGGAGCCCGACGTGGGATTCGATCCCGGGTCTCCAGGATCGCGCCCTGGGCCAAAGGCAGGCGCCAAACCGCTGCGCCACCCAGGGATCCCTAAGAGCTACCCATAGGTAAGTTCTGCACAGAGAAAGCACCCCCTGTGGGTGGTGGCCTCACCTCTGCTGGGGCAGAGGTGATGTTGGTCACAGAGCACAAAGCTTGGTAGCTGGAGGAGGATTTCCAACACAGTGGAAGATTGAGTGGGATTGAGAACACAATACTGGAGAGTCCAGAAAGTCTTGGGGTACCAAGATCATCTGTGGAATTCACATCCCTTGAGATTGCCTGAAACTCCCTACCATGTCTACTTGTTCCTGAAAACTCACCTTGCAGAATTCACCTTGCAGTCCAGAAGAGCAAGAACCCCGCCCATCCCAGCCTGTGCCTCTCCCATCCCAACCATCTACCCTATGGTATTGGAATCATCAGATAATCTGTCTTCCAACTAGATGATGCTCCCCTCAAAGGGCTAGGTCTCTCATATTCACCCCTTTACTGGAAACCTGAAGGCACAATGTAGATGCTTGTTGAATGAATCGTTGAAATTTCCTCTCTCACCTCACGGGAAGAGTTGATAATTCTTCACTGTCAGATTAACATAAGCTACCCATCTCCCAGCTCAATGAATCCTGGGCTGACAAAGATTGATGAAGGGGGTTCCTGTAGACAGTGGTGCCTAAGACAAAGTATCCTTATGATTTGTGCAATTCATTTGCCCACTCTGGACCTTGGTGTCTTCTGAAAGTTGGACAAGTGGGGCAAAAAGGCTTCCCAGCTCTGACAGCGTGTGGGTTGTAAGTTCCTTTTTTGCACACAGCTAGATTCTCTGTGACTTCCCTATATCTCCTCATTCTTGCTTTTCTTTGCAAACTGGGGACCATGGAAACACACTGGGCCTGGCCCAGCCTTTCTAACTCTGATGCTGAAATTGACCCTGCTGGGAGAGAATGGGTTGTCTGAGACAGGAGGCTGGGAAGGGGGGTGGGGCTGCAAATGCAGGAATCATTGATGGTGTGGGAGTGCATAAATGCATGCTCAAATCCTGCCCCTTTCCTTCTCAGTGACCCCAGTGCTGACTGTACCCCTGGTTATGTGTAATGGTTCTGGGAAGGGTTAATGTAGGACAGGAAGATCCATGAAGTTAAATGGAAGAAAACAGACAGTAATTTTTTCTGCACATACAAAGTCTTAAGAAAACATGTGCAAAGCCATAGTATTGAAGACATCGTGCTCAGGTGATAAAACTGTGAAGAAAAGCAAGAGAACAATTTGCATTAAAGTGATGCTTGGGGATCCTTTGTAGGGGAGCAGGGTGTGTGATAGGGATGAGGACCAAGGGGGAGGTCCAGGGTGCTCTATTTCTATCTAGTGATGAATCACTGAGTTGTTTTTGTGGGTGCCCTTCTTTGTCTGTATAATTCTCCCCAGAAAATGTGTCAAGAGAAACAACATCAGTGGAAGGGAGTACCACCTACCAGGGTTCCCAGAACCTTTTCCTAGCCTCCAGCCACATAGTTAAAACTTTCTGTGAATTCAGTGTACATCTCTTCTCTCATGAAACCAGCACCATCTGAAGGGTGGATGACACCTAGCTGGTATTACTCAGTCCGTGTCTCCTGCAAACCTGACTTCTGGGAGCAGAACCTGCACTGGCAAAGCCCATAGATTGCCAGGCCCTGCATGCTCTGCAGCATTGAAGAGGAGTATGGCCCCCAGAGATAGCAATGGTGAAGAAATCGTCTTGGTACCAGACAGCTGCGAGGAAGAGGGAAAGGGGAAGTTTTTATCCATTTCTAAATCTGCCCCTTCTCTTCTGCACTTCTCCTCATCCCAAACCCATGTACAATCATAGCCTCAAGTTCCCTTTTCTCCTTTGAGTGGGGCTCCCCTCAATATCCTTGGAGTCTTTGCCTCACTGCCCGAGTGTCCCCCCTGCCCAGGCTTCCTATGACATGACCTCCAGCTTAGGGAGAGAGCAGCACCTCACCCTGCCTGTGTGTCCTCTCTCACAGGGACCTCCAGGTGCTGGACAATTACGTCTTCCCACTGGACAGTGACTCCCGGGGCAATGGCCAGGGCTAGTGTGTGACTTCATGAGCAGGGAGGGGATGCCCACCACCTTGATGCCAAGAGAGGGAGGACAGTTTGTCTCCTACACCCCCAACCCCACCTCTCCCATCTCCCATGTCCCTGTGTTCCATCCCTGGCAGGACTGACTTCCACAGACGTGCACAGTCTGTGACTCAGGAGGTCCAGCCAGAAGGGACTCGTTTTCACTTTGCAGAAAACAAGCCCAGACGGGGACGGTATCATCAGGGAAGCAGGAGATGTGGCTTGAGTCCTGTGCAATGTGTGAATTTGAGTCAGGCTCTCACATTCTCTGGCCTCTAGGCCCAGAGTCCCTAGGAGTGGATGTGTAGTGGTGGATGGCTTATTTCCAATGGCTGTCCTGGCCCTGACAGCATCTGAAGTTCCTTCTCTGAGGAGGGTCACTGTCTGACATCACCTTCATCTTCCTGTCGGGGCTTCCTCTGAATCTTACAACTTTTAGTTTCTGAGAGACCAACCTTAAGAAACAGACATCCTGGGGACCCTGGCACTGCCAAGCCCAGACAGACATGCTCCTGCTGCTACTGGCCCTGCTCTGGAGGAGGGAGGGGGCTGACTGCCAGAGGAGGCCCAAAAGGGAGCTCTAGGGGGATTATAGGCTGCAGGTGAAGGGCTTGATGGCAGTGCAGGACAGCCTGTGTGTGCACGTGCCTTGCAGGTTCTCGCACCCCCTGGGCAACTGGTCTCACTCTACCCCAGCTCTCAGTTACTGGTTCTGGGAAAGGGTCAATGTATTCCAGGATGCTCCAGTGGCCACAAACAACCCAGGTCCTAAAGTGCAGGAGGAGACCCAGGGCCGATTCCACCTCTTCGGGAACACCCGGACCTATGGCTGCTCCCTGCACATCAGAGACTCCAGGAGTGGGGACAGTGGAAGATACTTTTTTCATGGGGGGGGGGGAGAGTACAAATGAAACGGAGTTACACATCTAACCAGCTCTCTGTGTGTGTGACAGGTAAGGGACAGACTCCAGGAAAGACCACAGGGGAAGGACAGGGGTCTTGGGACATAGCCAGGATGGGACACACTTCCCAGGAGGCACTGGAGGTAACCCATGTTGGGGCTCAGAGGCAGGAGCTGAACCCAAGCCTGAGGCTTCTCTCAGGGCCACACCTTGAACCTTCTCCTGATCCCTGTGTCTTCCCCTCTCCCCTGTGACAGCCCTGACCCACACACCTGACATCCTTATCACGGGGACCCTAGAGTCTGGCCATCCAAGGAACCTGACCGCTCTGTGCCTTGGGCCTGTGAACAGGGCATGCCTCCCATCTTCTCCTGGATGTCACCGCCCCTCACATCCCCAGGACCCAGGACCCTCCTCTCCTCAATGCTCACCCTCACCCCACAGCCCCAGGACCATGGCATGCCTCTCACCTGTCAGATGACCTTGCCTGAGGCTGGAGTGATTACGATGAGGACCATCCATCTCAACATGTCTGTAAGAGCCAGGCCAGGACCCCCCTGCTAGGTCCCTGACTGGGTCCTGAGGGCAGTGGGGTGGGGGGTCAGGGTCTGGGACACTGGTACTGGTTCCAAAATCTGGGCTGAGAGGGGTCAGGAGGACACGTGTCTCCACCTTTTCCCCATTTATGCAGCTCATGGGGACAGAGGGCCAATGTCCACCAGCCCCCTCCATTTACATGAATCTACCATGTCTTTCTGTCCCAGACTCTCCACAGAGTTTGATGGCAACTGTCTCCCAAGGAAATGGCATAGGTAGTTTGGAACCTCTTCCTGGGGTGTGGGGAGTGAGGGCAGGGCCGGGTCCCCCCTGTGGGTGAACCCATTGGTCTTCCCCCTCCCCAGCCCCCATGGCCTTGTCCCTCTCAACCTCTCCTTCCCCCACTTCTGCCCTCCCCGCTGTTATCAGGAGAACAAGGAGAACAGGGCAACAAGCAGCCCACAGATCTGCCCCTTATCATGCATCTCCTGATGACTCCTCCTGCCCTGTCTTTTATTTTCTCTAACAACTGCTTATTTAGGTACTTCTGAACAGGTAATATGTTCACATGGACAAACATTCAGAATGCACAGCAGTCTGTCCTCAGACACCCAGTCCCCTCCCGGGAAGTGACACTTTTTTTTTTTTTTTTAAATCCATACAAACATTTATTCTGTCCCTGTCTGGGGTTGGGGGGCTCCGGGCCCTAGGGGGAGGGCGGGGCTGGGGCGGGAAGACAGGGTCCAGAGGCTGATGGGCCCTGGAGGGGTCCCGAAGGCGAGGCCCTGGGGGTGGGGGGCAGGCGGGCTGGCTTGGTTCCCAGAGGTCAAGGAGTCCAGGCGGGTTTGGGGAGGCCAGTTCCCACCCATCCGGCCCAGGCCCGGCTGGACTCTCGGTCCTGGTGGCTGCCAAGGTGCCAGCTGGCGGCACCAGTCCTCCAACTCCTCCCCCCTGCGCTGCCCCCCACAGGGAAGGCAGCACCAGGGTTTCTCCAGCTGGGGAAAGCAAGTAGTCATCGGATTTAAATTACAAATAATAAAAATAACAATACAAACACACACACACACACACACACAGGAAAAGCCTGCCGGCAGAAGAAGGGGCAGAGTGGGAGGCTTGGCTGCCCCGTGACTCAGCAGGGCCCACTGGGCGCCGGGTGGGGTCTGGCCCGGCCTCTTCGGTGTCAGCAGGAGTCTCCAGAGGACAGAAGTCGGGGGCAGAGAGGCAGGGCCGTGCAAGGGGCGGGGGTGTCGGGCCTCCAGGTGGTCTCGGGCTCGTCCGCTCTCTCTGTTTCCGTGTCTCGGAGACGTGGACAGGGCTAGCTCTCGAGATTTACTGCACTGTTTTGGAAGAGGCCTGGGGCAGAGGCCCGGCCGGGGCTGCGGGGGAGGCGGGCAGGCGGCAGCCGTCGCCGCTTGGTCTGGGCGTCTTCTCGGATCTTCCAGATCATCACCAGGTGCATCAGGTGCTGGCGACCTCGCCGGAGCTGTGCCCGTCCACCTCGTCCTGGATGATCTGAGGCTGTCAGCCATGAGGTTCGGCAGGGAGCGCTTGTAGGGGAGGCCCAGGCGGTGCGGGAAGAGCACGGACGTGTCCACCACGGTGCTGTGGTTGACCTTCAAGGCCAGCGGGCCACTCTCCAGGCTGTGTCCGGTGAGGACAGTGTCGGCGCTGAACATGCCCAGCAGGACAGCCTGGACGTCCTGGAGCGAGATGCTCGTGTGGGCGAGGTCAGCCTCAGTCACCCCCGAAAACCTGGTGTTGTAGTCCACATCTCATTGTCCGGCTTGATGAAGGCGTCCTAAACCACCTGCATGTCCGTGTCCACCACCGTGACACGCGTCAGCTCCAGGCCATACGTGGTGTAGGACATTTCACAGTCAGGGGCATAAATCCCCGGGTGGGCGTCTTCCAAAGGTTTTTTTTTTTTAAATTTTTTATTTATTTTATTTATTTATGATAGACATAGAGAGAGAGAGAGAGAGAGAGAGAGAGAGAGGCAGAGACACAGGCAGAGGAGAGGGAGAAGCAGGCTCCATGCTGGGAGCCCGATCCCGGGACTCCAGGATCGTGCCCTGGGCCAAAGGCAGGCACGAAACCGCTGAGCCACTCAGGGATCCCCCCCCACCCCAAGGTTCTTTATCGAAAGTCTTCACAGAGCCTGCGGGGCTTTCCTTCCCGCCGTCCTGCACGTGTCGCTTGGCCGCAGCCCGTGGAGCCGATGGCAGCCGAGCAGCGCGTGGACGGAGTCTCCCAGCCGCGCTGCGTGGTAGTAGCTCTCCTCCTCCTCGGCCCGCAGCCCCAGCCCGACGCAGACACGAGGTACTCCCTGCCACACCGGCAGCAGATCCTGCAGGAGGAGTCCTTGGGCTTCTTCTCCCCCGCGGTGAAGACGACGGCGCCCCCGCCCCCCACCCCGCCGCTGGGGGGGGGGCGGGAAGGGGTATCCGTTCTCCTTGAGTTGGTCCCCCCTGAGCAGGTACTCCTTGAGGCGCCGTAAAGGGCGGCCCCTTTCAGATCCCGCCCCCCCCCCCCCCCCCCCCCCGGGCTGCTCCAGAGGCTGAGCCAGAAGCTGGCTTTGGTGGCCAACCTGCCTCCCAGCACCAGACCAGGCACGGAGCTGGGGACCAGGCCCCGCAGCTTCTTGAGAATGGTCACAGCGACGTTCAAGTAGATGTTCTTGCTGCGACTGCCGTCATAGCCCACCTTCTCCTAGTTCGGCGCCTTCTCTATGGCTTCGTGGTTTGAAGAGCAGAACTTGAGGCATTCCTCAATGAACAAGTTCAGATACTGCTGGCTGATGACTGTGGGGACTTTGCCCCCAAACTCTTTCGGAATAATGGGCTTCTTTAAACTCTGTAAAGTTGGGCTGTGGGCAACGCACTTGGGGGTGACGGTGGTGGTGGTCTTGGACGCCATGCCTGACAACGTGTGCGCCTTCAGGGGCTGGCTGCCCCACTTGGGGGCATTGGGTGGCTGGCTGCTGCTGGCGGTGAGGGTCTTCTTGGCACCTGTGGGGGCTGCAGCCAAGCAGGGGTTGGGGACATGGGCGATCCTCCTCTTCTCACCAGGAGCTGAGATGTGGATGGAGGATGGCTTCTCTGTTGGCTGCTGGGCAGCCTGGAGCCAGGTGGCTGAGTCCCTCTGGGCCTGCTGGGCGCATCGATAGCACACTTCAGGGATGTGATGTCCATAGGCTGCTCTGAGCCTCAGTATGTTCGCCCAGAGGGGTCCTTTGCCATCAGTAGTACAGACTGTCCACCTTCTTCTCTGTGACTGTGCACTATTCCTTCCCACGGATGGATTCTGCTTCTGTGTGCATCTTCTCCAAATGGAAAATCATTGCGGGACCCCTGGGTGGCTCAGGAGGTTGAGCGTCTGCCTTTGGCTCAGGGTGTGATCCTGGGGTTCTGGGATTGAGTCCCGCATCAGGCTCCCTAAGAGGAGCCTGCTTCTCTCTCTGCTTGTGTCTCTGCCTCTCTCTGCCTCTAATGAATAAATAAATAAAATCTTAAAAAAAAAGAAAATCATGGCATTCATTTTATTCTATTAGCCAAAATGCTGTGATAAGTAATCTTGTGTCTTCTTTCACAATGATGTATGCATGTCTGTGGGATACATTCCTAAAAGCAAAATGTAGCTTTTATGTTCTTTTCAATTGAGGTATGTGGCCAGTTGCCCTACATGGAGGGTGGACAAGTGAGCATTCCCACCAACAAGGGGAGAAAGCGTGCCTTTTCCTGCACTTCAACCTACTTCTGTTTCTCTGTTCCCTCATCTGGTCTGTTTTCAAGTCCTTCTGCTTTCTCTCTATCTTTTGTCTCTCTGACCCTCTGTCTCCTTTTCTCTAGCATCCATAGCCCTGGAGAACGGCTCATCTCTTTCTGTCCTGGAGGACCAGTCCCTGCGCCTAGTCTGTGTCATCAACAGCAACCCCCCCCCCCCCGCCAGGCTGAGCTGGGCCTAAGGGAGCTTGACCCTGTGCTCCTCAAAACCCTTGAACCCTGGGATGCTGGAGCTGCCTCAAGTGCGAGAAGATGAGGGTGAATTCACCTGCCGAGCTCAGACCATGGTGGGCTCCCAGCATACCTCCCTGAGGCTCTCACTGCAGAGTGAGTGCACCTGTAGGGTGGGGCTGAAGATTGACAGCACCATCCCCAGCACCCTTAGCAGCCCCTGAGCCTTGCAGGGGAGCTCAACTTTGGTCTGTGCTTCCCTGTGAGGCCAGGATTTTCCCTGCCACATACAGTATCACTGTCTTCTTCCTGCCAGACCAGGGCTGTAGGGTGGGGTGAAGGCTGGGAGGGGAAGCCAGGGGAAGGACATAGGTCTTGAAAGAGGAGCTGGGGTCTGCTCAGGCGTGTCTGGGGACACAGGTCCTTGATTTGTAGGGCAGAGAGGAGGGTAAGACAAGTGAAGCACTCACCATGAGCACAAAATTTAAGGGGAAGCCAAGAAACCTCAGTAATGAGAAGTAATACTGCAACGCAGTGTTTTTAAAAATAAAAGTGAATGCAAAATAAATATTACCATGAACAAAATATCCACATTTTAAATAAAGATAGGCTGCAATCCAGCCTCTGTATGCCTCCCTCACTCAGCCCTAATCCCCTCCCCCAGACCCAGGTACCTGTGTTTGGAGTCTGGCAGGGGGGGGCTACAAAACAGGAATCTGGGCTCCTCCAGAGAGTGGGAGAAGGTACCGAGTTCTTGGAGAGGAATCACCAATAATCCAGTCTGTCTGCAGGAAAAGCATGGCCTTTATCAGAAGGGGTGCTGGGGGCAGTTGGGGGAGCAGCTGCTATGGCTTTGCTCTTCTTGTTTCTCTGCATTATTGTCATCACGTGAGCATTGACCCTGGGGAAGGAGGGATAGCCTTGGGGTGGGAAGGGCAGGGGGACACAGAATGGAGGGACTTGGGTGGGTCAAGACCCCAAAGCAAGGGAAGGAAGGAAGTTGATGGCACCTGGCTGAGTCTGTCACAGAATTCTGGCCCATTGTCCAGGATGAATAACACAGGGGTCTCCAGAATGGGACCACCACCCTTGCACCTCCATCACCCTCCAGCCCCTTAAGAGAGAACAGAGGAGGGAGTCAGTCTGCCCACAGCACCCTGAGCTGGCCAGACTGAAAGGCTCCCTGTTCTCTTCTCTCAGAGTGAGATCCTGCAGGAAGAAAGCCACAAGGCCAGCAGTGAGCACCAGGAATGTGGATATGGGAAATGCAAATGCTGTCACGAGGTCAGTCTCTCAGGTGAGTGACCTGGACATCTTGCCATCAAGCTCCTCCCTAAGGATCCCCCATCTTTATTACAGCACAACCACCCCCTCTTCTTTCTTTAAGGCCAGGCATGGAGGAGTCACCTTCTCATTGTCCTCCCTTTCTTCTCCTACAGTTCCAAATTCACCATGTCTTGTCTATTTTTCCTTTTAAGAACAGCTAGTGTCAGCCTCCCCCCAGTCATGACCCCCACCATTGCCAAGTCATCATAATCTTTTCCCTGGACCCCCTCATCTTCTTGCTTCTCACCTCCCTTGTCCTATACCAAACAGTTATCTAAAAACCATCATTATACAGTTCTTGCATTTGAACTGTTTGCCCTCATTGTCTAGACTGGAGACTGGAGACTTTTTATATCTAGGGCCAGATAGATATTTTTGGTGGGTGGTGGATATTTGCAGGTATTACAGCCTATTGTAAGCACCCAACTCTGCTGTTGTTGAGTAAAATGAGCCATAGGCCATATGTAAATGAATGAGCACAGGTGTGTTCCAATAAAAGTTTATTTACAGACACAGGCAATGGGCCATATTTGATCCATGGGCTATAGTTTGCAGACCCCTTACCCAGAGAATAAAGTCCCAACTCCTTACCTTGCAGCCCTGCAGATTCTGACCTCTCAAGCATCTACCTCTCCAGAGGGACTAGGATTAAGGTGAAGTGAGGGAGAAACTAGCCCCAGATGCAAAACTGAAGGGAGTGCCCAAAAATCTCAGTGATCCAGATAAATGTTTTAATACACCATTTAAAAAAATCAAAATTAAGGCAAAAAAAAATCCACGATGAGGAAAATATAAAACATCTAAACAATGACAGAATCAGTAGACTTAAGTTAGTTACAAATTATTTAAGATCATCACTGAGTCCAGAGAAATTGTCAAACATGGCAACATTCTCAACTGAAAATGAAAGAAGCAGAGAGGGCAGCTCTGGTGGCTCAGTGGTTTAGCGCTGCTTTCAGCCTAGGGCATGATCCTGGAGACCTGGGATCAAGTCCCACATCAGGCTCCCTGCATGGAACCCACTTCTTCTGCCTGTGTCTTTGCCTCTCTCTCTGTGTCTCTCATGAATAAATAAATAAAATCTTAAAAAAAAAAGAAAGAAAGAAAGAAGCAGAGAAATTGATTTTGAAAATGTCCTCTCGGGATCCCTGGGTGGCGCAGCGGTTTGGCGCCTGCCTTTGGCCCAGGGCGCGATCCTAGAGACCCGGGATCGAGTCCCACGTCAGGCTCCCGGTGCATGGAGCCTGCTTCTCCCTCTGCCTGTGTCTCTGCCTCTCTCTCTCTCATTCTATGTGACTATCATAAATAAATAAAAATTAAAAAAAAAAAGAAAATGTCCTCTCTGCATTTGCTTCCAGTAAAATAAGAAAAGCAAAATTATCATAAATTCTAATTTGGGTATAAATAAAATCTTTAAACAGATTTAATAATAATATTTCAGGGATCCCTGGGTGGCGCAGCGGTTTAGCGCCTGCCTTTGGCCCAGGGCGCGATCCTGGAGACCCGGGATCGAATCCCACGTCAGGCTCCCGGTGCATGGAGCCTGCTTCTCCCTCTGCCTGTGTCTCTGCCTCTCTCTCTCTCTATCTGTGTGATTGTCATAAGTAAATAAAAATAAATAAATAATAATAATATTTCAGTTATTTTAATGTTGTGGGAAAAAATGACCATTAAAAACACACAGAAACATTTTTTTAGGGACACACAGAAACATTTTTTAGGGACACACATGTTTTTTTCTGTCTCAAGCTCCAAATGGTTCAGAAAGTCACTTTTACTTTCTACTCCATCCACTCCTCTGGATCTTTGCATGGGCTCTGCCTCTTTCCTCAAATGCTCTTCCCTCCCTTTTCTACTTCTTCATCCCCGTTAGCCTTCATGCTCCATTGAAAACCTCACATTTTTCATCCACTTATATTGAGTGTGACTGGAAACCTTTGGAGGATCTTGAGCAAAGTACCATGTGTGCTTTCATTCATTAGTTGTTCAGGAGATGTTACTGAGCATCTGCCAAATGACAGGCATTTCAGGTGCCAAAGATTCATCTATGAAAAAAATTTTTCTTCTTTTTAAAAGATTTTATTTATTTACTTATTTGAGAGAGAGAGAAAGAACATGAGTGGGGTGAGGGGCAGAAGGAGAGGGAGAAGCAGATGACCGTGCTGAGAAGGGAGCCTGATGTGGGGCTGGATCCCGGACCCTAGGACCATGACATGAGCTGAAGGCAAATGCTTAACCCATTGAGCCACTCAGCTGCCCTTTTAAAGATTTTAAGTAACTTCTACACTGTGGGGCTTGAACTCATGATCCCAAGATCAAGAGCACATGCTCCACTGACTGAGCCACCCAGCTGCCCCATCTATGAAAAAAATTTTTTTTCATCTTGTGCTCAATGAACTTTTAGTCTAGACAGAGGGATACAACCAAACCAATCAAACAAACAATTGAACAACAAATAAGTGACTACAATATGAAAGATAGATATGTACTTTAGGGAAAATACAGGGTGCAGAGACTGAGAGTGCTGGGGAGATGGCTTACGCTTTTTTTTGTTGTTGTTGTTGTTGTTGTTGTTATTCTTTATTTATTGTGGTAAATTTACCACTTAGGTATCTTTAAATGTGCAGTTGTGCAACAGATTTCTAGAACATTTTCATCTTGCAAAACAAGTTCTACATCTGCCTATCGAACAGCAACTACCCACTTCCTCTGCCACTCCAGTCCCTGACAACCACTATTCTACTGTCTATTTCTGTAGATTCAATGACTTTAGATACCTCCCATAAATGAAATCATGCAGTTTTTGTCTTTTTGTGCCTGGCTTATTTCACTTAGCATATTGTCTTCTATGTTTATCCATGTTGTAGCCTGTGATAGGATGTCCTTCTTTCTAAAGATTTATATATTTTTTATTTGAGAGAGAGCAAGAGAGCACAGTGGGGGTGGGGCAAGTGCAGAGGGAGAGGGAGAGAGAATCTCAAGCAGACTCAATGCAGGATTCAATCCCAGGACCCCAAAATCATGACGTGAGCTGAAATCAAGAGTCAGCGGCTCAACTGACTGGATCACCCAGGTGCTGCAGGGTGCCCTTCTTTCTAAAGACTGAATAATATACTGTTGTATGTATACAGCACATTTTTACCTGCTGATGGATATTAGGAATGCTTCCACCTGCTACCTTTTTAAATAATGCTGCAATGAACATGGGTATGCAAATATATTTTTGAGATCCTGCTTTCTACTTTTTTGGATAAATATTTGTAAGTGGAATTGCTGGATCATGAGAGTTTTCATTTTAATTTTTTTGAGAAACCACCATACTATCTTCCCCAGTGGCGGTACCATTTTACTTTCCCACCAACAGTGCACAAAGGTTCATTTTTTCCCCACATCCTCATCAACATTTGCTATTTTTTTTATTTTTTGCCTTTTTTTAAAAAAAGATTTTATTTATTTATTTGAAAGAGTGAGAGAGAGCACAACTGGTGGTGTGGGAGGGTCAGAAGGAGAGAGAGAGAGAGAGAGAAGCAGACTCTCCACTGAGCACAGCCTGACTCGAAGCACAATCTCAGGACCCTGAGATCATGACCTGAGCTAGAGACACATGCTTAACTGACTAAGCCACCTAGGTGTCCCTATTTTTTGCTTTTTATAGTGGGCATCCTCATGGGTGTGAGATGATACCTCATTGTAGTTTTGATGTGCATTTCTCCAATGATTAGCAGTGAGTGGTGTTTGTCTTTGCATAGGCTTGTTAGCCATTTGTATATCTTCTTTGGAGAAAGGTCTGATTCAAGATTTTTTACCCATTTAAAAAACTGAGTTATTTGGGTTTTTGTTGTTGACTTGACTTCTTTATATATTCTGGATATTAACATCTTTCCAGATATATGATTTGCAAACATTCTCTGCCATTACATAAGCTACTGTGTGTTTTTTGTTAGTGATGATTAAGCACAGACATGAATGAGCCTCAAGAGCTTGCAACCTATTGTGATCAAAGAGCACTCTAGGTAGAAGAAATAGCAGGTGCAAATGCTCACACAGCAAACCAGTGAGGGGTGGACCATCAGTAAGTCTGTGTAATTAGACAGAAGAAGCTAAGTGCCAACAGGCAGGAAATGAGTTTGGAGAAGTCAGGGTATGTGTAAATCATGTCTGTACATGTAGTTTACTGTGGGCATCTGGAGATGTTTGAGCAGAAGAAGGACATGATCTAGCTTTCATTTTCACAGATCCCTCTGGCTGCTGTGTGCAGAAGAGACTGCCTTGTCCAGCTTCTGGAGGCAGCTGTATAGTCCTGTTCTCTGTCTTCAAGGCCAGAAGCATTGCATCTTCAAATCCCACTCTTATAAAGATAAAGACCCTTGTGATTACATTGACCACACCCAAAAGATCCAGGGCAATCTCCCCATTGCAATATCCTTAATTTAATCCCATTCCCAAAATCCCTTTTGCCATATGAGATAACACAGTCACAGGTCCCAGGGGATTAGAGTATAGGGCAGCTTTGAAGAGCTATTTTTCTTCCTGTTTCATAGGGATATAATTTCTTTGACTGACTATCCTTCCACCAAACAGTGAGCTTCCTAAGAACAGGTGCTGTACCCAAATCAAGGCTTTGTAATTCTCTCTCCCTTACCCAATTCCTGTCCATTGTATCATAATTCACAATTAGGTACTTATTTTTTTAACTCACTTCTTGTCTCCTCCCTCGGTTAAAAAGTAAGCTGCAGGGGGGAACAAAAGAGTAAGTTGCGAGAGATCAGGGCCTATGTCTGCTGTATCCACTACAGTATATATGCAGTGTCCAGTTTAGGGCCTAATGCACAGGGAGCCTCAGCAGGGCACCAGGCTTTGGTTTCACCAGAGACTTTGAGCACGTTACTCCCTTGGTTCACCCTCTGTTTTCATAGCATTAAAATGAGGACAATAATAATATATTCTTTATGGGGTTGTTGTGGGAGGTTAACGAGATTCATAAGCACCAAATAAAGTGCTATGTATTAAATATTTGAGGAAAGTATGAATGGAGGAGATTCAACAAAAACGTGCATGGGATGAATGGATGAAGGAATTCATGGACCTCCCTCCTGGATGCTCTCTGATTTATCCTGTCCTCACTCCCTTTTCTCTCCCTCCACTCAGAGTCCCCTGATTGAATCCCCAGCAGTCATCCTTCCTTCAGATGCGGCTACCCAGTCCTCAGAGGAGGAAGAAGAGCTCCATTATGCATCCCTCAGATTTGTGGGAAGGAGCCTTGGGGCAGACAGGAACAGGTGGCCCTTAGTATTGAGTACTCAGAATCAAGTTTCACAAGTGAGAGACTGCTGAGACCCAGCCCTGGCTTGAGCATCTGACCCCTTGGGGATGGGATGGGGGTCAAAGAAAAAGTCAGAAGGCCTCCAGGTGATGAGTTGTAAGTACAGTGGAAACAATACAGGCTTTGGAAACAGTTTCAAGTGCAAAGCCACACGCTGCCCCTTTACTAAGACACAGACCTTCCTGTACCTCAGTTTCCTGCTCTGTGAAACAGGGATGAGAAGCCCTAGCTGCAAGTTCATGGTGAGAATTAACAGTAGGAAAATCCTATCAGAATTCTTGGCACAAAGTGTATGCTGACCATATGCAGGATCCTTGTGCTTTGAGCATAAAAGCCTTCCTGAGAATTCTCTTGACTCTGGAGGGTTCCAGCAGCAATCCTCACTCTCACTCTGCCTTCTACTGGAACACCCTCTCACCAGGCCTTCCTCTGCCTCTGTCCTTGAAAGTCAAGTTCAAGAGGTAGATTTCTGGGTTCAGAAGGGAGTCAAGCAGCAGGACATGATCTTCCCCAATAGAGACAAACCAAACTTATGAGGAAGGTTCTCAAACATAAAAGTACATATATATGTATACCCACATGAATTGACAAGTTGGTTCCCAAATTTACATAGAAATGTGAAGGACCTAGAACAGCAAAACAATCTGATGAAAGAAGAACACAGTTGGAGAAATAAGATTTTACTATAAAGCTAGAGTAATCAAGACACTGTGATATGGAACAGAATAGAGTCCATAAATAAAGTGTGTATATATCGTTAATTGAACAAGTCCAAGCTTATTCAATTGGGATAGGAGGGACTTTTTAACAAATAGTGGTAGAACAAGTAGATCAAAATTTGGAAACCATAAGCCTTGACCCCTTTCTCATGTCACATGCAAAAAATTAGTCTGAGATGAATCATAAACCTAAAAGTAAAAACTATAAAGATTTTATAATTGTGTTGTCTAGTGTGATAGTCACTAGCCACACATGGCATTTAAGATGTGCTGTACTAGGGGTGTCTGGGTGGCTAAGTTGTTTGAACATCTGAGTCTTGGTTTGGCTTTGGCTTAGGTTTGGCTCTGGGTCCTGGGATAGAGCCCTATGTCTGGCTTGCTCAGTGGGGAGTCTGCTTGTCCCTCTCCCTCTTCTCCTCCTTCTGCTTGCATGCTCTCTCTCTCTCTCAAATAGATAAGTAAATCTTTTTTTTTAAGATGTGCTACACTTACTGTGCAAAAAAAGAGATAAAAGACCTCAATAATTTTTAATATTGATCATCTGCTGGAATTATAATATTTTAGATATATTGGGTTAAATACATCATTATTAAAAAGTAATTTCACCAGTTTCTTTTTACCTTTTTTTATTATAGCTACTAGAATTTTGAAACTACATATTTAACTTGCATTATATTTCTATCAGACAGAATTGCTCTAGAAGAAAAATTTAGGAGAATATCTATGGGTATGCAAAGATTTCTTACAGGGCATCCACAACAGTCAGCATTATATATATATATATATATATTTCATTATAAACTCCTGTTCATCAAAAGACATGATTGAAATGAAAAGGCAAGTCACAAAGTGGGGAAAAATATATATGTATCCCTGAAAAGGGGCTTGAACTTAGAATATTTAATTACCAGTTAATAACACAATAACCTAATTTTTTAATGAGAAAAAAGACTCATTCATATATTTCATAAAAGAAGAGATCCAAATGGCCAGTAGGTGCATGAAAGGTGGTCAACATCACTGGACATCAATGAAATGAAAATTCATCACAATGAAATGCCCTATCACATCTGCTAGAATGGCTAAAATAAAAAAGCCTAAGCACACCGAATGTTGGAGAAGGTGTGGAGGAATTGGAACTCTTGTATATTTTTGGTGAGAATGTAAATAGTACAACCATGTGTTCTGTACAACAATGTAGTGGTTTTGTATACAGTTAAACATAATATACTCACTCTAAGTCCCAGCAATTCCACCCCTAGTTTTTATCCAAGAATGAAAGCAAAGGTCCACACAAACATTTGCACATGAATGTTTATAGCAGCATTATTCATAATACTAAAGGTAGAAACAATTCAAATGCCCATCAACAACAATAAAACAACAACAAAAACAAATGCCCATAAATAAGTGAATGGATAACCAAAGTGCTATAGCCAAACAACAGAATACTACTAGTCAACATAAAAAAAATTTAACATTAATGACTTTAAAAAGCATATTGAGTGAAAGAAGCCAGATACAAAAGAATATACTCCAATTCCACTTAGATGAAGTCCAAGAAAAGATGAAACTAACCTATTGGAACAGAAATTCACAAAGGCAGCTGCCTCTCTTTTGAGAGTGTGTGGCTGGCAAATAACTTTAATGGTGCACAAGGAAACTCTGGGATGCAGGAAATATCATATATCTTGACTGGGATAGTAGTTACATGAGTGTATGTATTTATCAAAACTCATTGAATTATACATGTAAGATTAGTGTATTTTACTATATATAAATCTACCTTTGATTAAAAAATAATAAAAATTTAACAATAATGGAAAGGCTTTAGATAAAATTCAACAGCCATATCTCCTTAAGACTGTAAGGTGGGGGGATGATGTCTGGGTGGCTCAGCGGTTGAGCATCTGCCTTCTGCACAGGGTATGATCCTGGAGACCCAGGATCAAGTCCTGTGTTGGACTCCCTACATGGAGCCTGCTTCTCCCTCTGCCTATGTTCTGCCTCTCTCTTTGTGTGTCTCTCATGAATAAATAAATAAAATCTAAAAAAACCAAAAGACTGTAAGGTGGGGAGATGCAGGTTTAGATATAGAAATAGTATAATGCCCACCTCTGTCGATGGGTATATGCAGTGGTTAACTCAGGACGTGTTTGGTTTTCTATCAGGCAAATGAGATGGTTTCGGAAATATCTGTGAATCTATGCATTTTGACACACAGATATAGTGATTAAATAAGTGAGTGCAGAGATCACAAAAGGGCAAATCCATGAGAAGAACATAAGCATGCACACATCTATTTTCAATCTGCCTGTGCACATTGAAGATGATTCAGAAGACAATGCTGGTCAGCCCATATGAGGCAGGCTGTTAGCTGGTGGAAATGGGACAGGAGGTGCTAAAAGCCCTAGCTGGTTCTTCCTGTAGGTGATATTTTATTGTGTTTTAGCACAGCAGAGTGGTGCCAGGAAGTGCGCTGGGCCCATAACTTTATTGGGTTTTCTTTTCCTGATTATAAAAACAGTTTATACATTTTGTAAGAAAAAAAACACCTTAGAACATACAGTAAAGTGCAAAGAAGGAAATTAAGAGATAGGATTGTTAATAGATAACATTTTCTGTATTATTTGTACAGGTGTGTATATATATGTGTGTGTATATATGTACACACATATATGTGTGTGTGTACATATACAACTGTAGAACAAATACATACATACTATACATATTATATCAGTCAATTAATCTATCCTTTTCATAATGATGGTCCTAGCAGGTACAACTTTACATTATGTTTTTCTAACAATGAATTATAAGCATTTGCTGCATCAGTGAGCACCCTTCCCCAGCATGGTGTCTAACAATGACAGTTAAGCTCAATTTGTGCCATGTTCATTTAAGCCATTCCTGGTTGTTGGGCATTTATAGTTTGTTCAGTTTCCCGGTCACTGGCAATGGTCGTCTTTGCATCTTCTATGGTGTTGCCATGGTGTCAAGCTAAGGAAAAGGAGAAGTCAGAAGTGCATTTGTTGGTGGAGAAGAGGCCTTGAAATTACAGCACAGTGCACTGCATATGACCCACCCCAGCCTACTCCCCATTGCCCATTCCCCCTCCTTGTTATGGACTCCAGACTTCCTACAGGAGCCTCCGTCTCCCAACTTCAGGGCGACTGGGCCAGTTCCTTCTCTTGACTGTCTCCTCCACCTAGGCTCTGGACTGTCTCCAGCCTAACCCATCCCTATGGGAACTCTCTCAGCCCTCCTCCCTCATTCCACCTCACCTCCTTGCCTACCTGGTCTTGTCCTCATGGTCTGAGGTTAACACTCGTTTAACTGGCTCCGCCTATGGGGAGAAATCAGGGAAGATGTCATATCTCAGGTCTGTAGGAAATAGAGAATGCAGCAGAGTCCTGGGGAGATGCTGGTGTGGTAAGCTTCTTCTTTCCAAGCCCTCCTTGTGAAGGACCTCAGGAGTAGCAGGGGACAAATCTGAGAGCTTAACTTCTACACCAAGAGTTCCTTCCTCCACATTCCCCATATGGTTCATCATTTCTGATGTCTTAAGGTCGCTGAAGGAAGATGTCATGGGCCAGCAGAGGTGGGGAGGTAAAAGGGGCTGAGTGTGCCTGGGGAAGGAGTTGGCACTACCTGGCCTAATTACTAGTGATAATAATAGTAAGTTATTTCACACCTATTATATTCCAGACACTATGGTAAATGATTTACAGACATTATATTGAATGCTCTCAATAGTCACACAAGGTAGAAATTTTAACCTCGTATTATGGATGAAGAAACAGTTCAGAAAGATAAAGGTACTTGCCTAAAGTCACACAGCTAGAAAATGACAGAGGCTAATATTCTGAACCTGGCCACTCTGACTCCCAGCCCATTGTTCTCATGCATGCTAGACTGAAGAACTAAGATCAAGGAGAATGTGGCACCTCTAAGGAGAATGAGGCAGTGGAGATGTTGGGTTCACTCCTGGCTGTGATGAGGGAGTTATGACTGGCTAGTTAGCTTCTTTCAGGCTATAGAAGAAAAAGCAACATATATATATATATATCTCCTAGAACCACTCTTAAACTGCCTAGGGTTTAATCATGACTAATTTGGAAAAGTATATTGGATGATGATATTATTAATAATAATACCTCAGATTTTATTGAGCCCTTACTGTGTCTCATGCTTTGTTCCAAGCTATTTATCAGTGATACCTTACTTTATTCCCATAGTAGATATCCCTGTGAGGTCAGCACCAGTTTCACTTGCATTTTACACATGGCAAACTAAAGCACAAATGGGCTGTCATCCTGATGGTCATTACTGTAGGCTTCTTGATAGAGAAGTTGTGCAATGATCACAGATAGGCTCCATATCAAAATACTAAAATGATTTGAAAAAAGAATGCATCATCTAAAACCTTCACCATCGTCACCACAATCAATACCATCACCATTACCATCATTACCACCACCACCACCACCACCACCACCACCACCATCACCACCACCATCACCACCATCACCACCACCACCACCACCACCACCACCACCACTTTAGCATCACCAACATCATCAGTGTCAGCATCATTTCCATCATCACTGCTATCTGTAACATCTACTGCAATAGTTCTCAAACAAGACAATTTTGCCCTCCTTGGGACATTTCTAATGCCTACAGTCATTTTTGGTGGTATAAACTGAGATTGAAGAAGGTTATTCCTACAGATATCAAGTGGGTAGAGGCCAGAGATGCTCATGTTACAGTGCACGGGACAGCCTTATCCCCTTCCCCTGAAATAATTATCTGGCCCCAAATATCAATAATACTGAGCTTGAGAAATTCTGATCTACTCTGTACTGAGAATACTGATAATTGTTTCATCCTCCAAGAATTGTGTGTAGCCCCCATATCTCCCTTCAGGGGGGTGTTACCCTTCATATCCTCCAAACGAGCTAAGAGGACCTGAGGGGAGTGTGATCTACTCAAGGTCACACTCAGACAGCTAGAGGCAGAGCTGGGATTGGAATCCTGATTAGAATCTTCCTCTGCCCAATCTCTTCCCCTGCATAGTTGACTCTACTACCTGTTTCCCTGACTTCATGTGGTAACTAGTAACTACCATGTACCAGACACATGCTGGATGCTTGACACCCACCCTGTTCTTTCTCATGGATGCCCCTCCAGGTCAACTTCCATATCAACATCATAAACATAAAGAAACTGGGCTGAAAAGAAGTCACTGGGTGAAACCCTATTGCTGTGTAGAAGCATGACTGCCTCTACACCCTCCCTCTCTGCCACTGGCTTCTGGTCTTCCACCTATCTGTCTGCCCCAAATGATTCCTGACAACCCATTCCTGCCTTGTCCCTTCCCCTCCTGGCTCTGCCTTCTCCTGTTAGGGGAGTGCTCTTGAGACCCAGTCCTGAGCCAGCACCCAACCCTCGACCCAGGGCAACAGGCACCTGATGGATAAATTGCTGATCAAGCCGTAGATCAGGATTCCACAGATGTAGAGGCTGCCCAGGACTATCATCACAATGAGCCACACCACTTTGGCTCCTGAGATGTAGAAACCTCTGTTTACAACAACAGGAATGTTCCCTGGAGAAGAGGATACAAGGGGGTCAGGAGTACCACCACTCAACCCTTCGTTCACCACACATCTGTTCTTCAGAGATTTATCAATCAACATCTGCTATGTTCTAAGTGCTAGGAATTCAGTGAACAAAACAAACTTCTTGCCCTCATGGGGCTGACATTCCAGCTGGGAAGTGGACAGTTGACGACAAAGCAAAGAGATGTCTGATATGATTGCAGGCTGCAAGAAGTACTCTGAAAAAGAATAAACCCACTCAAGGGGATAGAGTGACAGGATCAGGGGTGCTGGTTACACAGGGTCATTAACCTATTGCACAGGTATTCACTGAGCGCCAACAATGTGCCAGGCACCATGCTAAGCACTGGGGACAAAAGGTGAGCAAACAGCTCTCCCAGCTTCTATCCTCCTGAAGCTCACAGTCCAGTGGAGTAAGAAAGGTGTAAATCAGTTGGTGCATAATCATTCACAGTTGGTTGGTCATGTCTGGTGTGTAGCAGATGCTTTAGTAAATAGTGTGGAGTGACCAGAATAAATGTCTCCAGCCCACATTCAGTTGTGTATGTGGCTTTCTCTAGGACAAGCCAGGCTGATAGGTTCTCACGCATTGTCTGATTTAATTCTACCAGAAACCCTGTCATATAGGGACCCTTTTAATCTTGACACTACATATAGGGAAACTGAGGCTCAGAGAGGAGCTCTTCCTATATACACATTCATTCCCAAGCTAAGTTCCAGACATCACATCCACAACAGATCTCTGCTTCCCCTGCACCACCTACCCCCCTTGACCTTTCTACTTTCTCATATTGAGGCAATCAAGCAAAACAGCTGTGGGCATAGGCTGTGAGGTTGGATTGCCAGAGTTTGAACCCAGCCTCCTCTGTTGATTGGAACTGGAATTTGAATAAAACACTCCAACTTCCCATAGCTCAGTTTTCTTATCTGTAAATGGAGGTGGTGTTAACAACAGTCGCTGTGAGGGTCATACAGGTTAGAATGGTGGCTGGCACACAGTAAGTGCCCAGTGAATGTTGGCTGACCATATCTTCCAGGGATCCACCCTTGCTCTGACCTGAGGTCTCTGAGGGCTTCATAGAGGAGGTAGCTTTGGACTTGGACCTTAGAGGATGGGGACATTTTACTCAACCATTGTGAGCATGGCATTGCAAGGTGGAGATGGCATTCACAATGACAGGCACTATTTAGGCAAAAGCATGGAGTTGAGGGATGCCTGGGTGGCTCAGTGGCTGAGCATCTACTTTCAGCTCAGAGCATGATTCTGGGGTCCTCGGATCAAGTCCCGCATTGGGCTCCCTGCAGGGAGCCTGCTTCTGTCTCTGTCTATGTCTCTGCCTATCTCTTTGTGTCTCTCATGAATAAATAAATCAAATCTTTAAAAAAATAAAAGCATTGGGAGGAGAAGATTTGGGGAGCATGAGCCCCAGAGGGCAGCTGCTGTACTCACGGGGTGTCTGGATCTGGAATTCTCTGTACATCGTCAGCTGGGTCACGGGGTTGTCCACGATGCATCTGTATCTGCCCATCTGTTCCCAGGCCAGACTTGGGAGAGTGATGCTTGCATCTGAGAAGCTTAGGAGAGAGCCATTGTGGCTCCAGTGATACTTGGGACTTGGAACAGAAAAGGCAGTACATGCCATATCCACCTGGGAGCCTATCTTAGCAGATAGGACACCTTTGAAGGTACTGGGACTGGTACTCAGCAACACTTCATCTGGCCCATCTGCAGAGACAGAGAAGGAGACCAGAGCTATGTTTCTGACCTTGGGGCCTTGTCTCTTTCCCTCAGTCCACATGTAGTCCTCCTTGACCAGGAGTTGCCCCTACGCTGCACCCCAAGCATCTCCTAGACCCAACACAGCTGTCTCCAGACCCAAGGCAGCTGTGCCAACAACACAACTATAATTACAACATCTTCTGTTATCAAGCACCTACTATGAGCCAGCCCCATAATAGCTCTTCAAGTCACAATAAAATACGAATAGAAGCAACACATCAGATTCTGTGTGTTTTTAGATTTAGGTGTGAAAACCATTCAAGACTTGTGCTTTTTCACAGTGGAAAGATGTGAAAGAGTTTGGTAAATATGAAAAGTCCCAGAATGTTGGAAAGACCCAAGGTTCATTGTATTTATAAGTCAATGTCTTTGACTTACAAGACCTGTTTGAGATTTTGGGGAGGTCTGGCTAGGTTGTATACTTGCCTTGGCAGGCAATCAAAGGATTATGGAGAAAAGAGAATGTGTGAGACTGTCATTTAGCTTTAAAATAGAACTGTCTGTTTAAGAGAGTGTAGTCAGTTCAATCTGACTACAAAGGAAAAATGAAGGAGATTTTACCAAATTTAGAAAACCAGAATAAAAAGATCAATAAATCTGAAGGCTCAAGGGAATGTGGGATTTGAATATTTAATAAACTGTCATTTTTAAGAGACTATTAGTTGTCAGCAGTCTCCTCTTTACAAAAGCCAGCTCTGAACAAATTTCGCACTATTTCTAATCTGAGGAGTAGGACTTAGGGTCCCTGTTTTAAATAGCAGATTGTCCTGTGCAGTGAGGGTGATTCTAAGTCCAAAGAGCTGAGATTCAAACCCAGATCCAGTGGTCCATGGGCTGGCTCATGGTATTTCCTCTCTCTAGTTCTGCCTGTCTTATTGCTATGTCACTGGAAGGCCCTGTGCCCACCACTGGCATCACTCTCATGGCCCCAGACCACTCACAGGCCACAGTTAGAGAGAGAATTTCACTCCTCCGAGGAATCTCCATGATAGTATCTATCTCACAATAAAGTTCTCTGTCTCGGCGGGTGACCCTGTGGATGATGAGGGTCTTGAGGTCCGGGGAGATTGTCATCCGGTCATTGCTGGATACCAGTGTGTAATCCACGTACCACCTGACATTGGTGGCATTGGTGTAGCAAATGGCAGCCACAGAATCCACGTCCTCTACCACAGAGCTGGTGTTGGCCCAGATCTCTGGGTTGCTTTCCAACTCTGGGGAAAATAGGAAGAAGTCATTAGGGTGGGGTCTGCCACCTTAAGCTCTGCTCCTCTTCAAAGGGGACTCTGGGGTAGGTTGATGAGAAGCCAAGAGTTGTAAGATGGGGTGTGGGGTCTTGGCAAAGGAACACCCCTAGAGCTGAGAGGGACAGAGAAGTAGGGAGTGGGCATGAGTAGTTGAGATGAGGGCACTAGTCTGAGTGCACCATCCTATGCTCTGGGTCATCACTGTGGCATCCACTACAATAATGTGAGCTCCTGGGATGGGTATGTAGCCTAATGGTAGTTTCTGAACCCAGAACCTAAAATCAGAACACCCCCAACTGAGGAACCATGGGTAGAATTCAAAGTGACAGGTGGTATTTGGATTCTCTATAATAATTGGTCCCATTATCTAAGTCCCATTCACTTTACAAATACTCCACCCAATCATACAACAGACAATGGTAGATACTATCCTCAGGCTACAGATGAGGAAACTGAGAACACCACGGAGGGGAAGACAAAGGCTCAGGGCCATGTGACATATACACAGTCAGAGGTAAACATAGGGCTTCCTGTCTCCAAGTCCACATTCTGCCCCCTAGACCTATGGAGCCTCCAGGAGCTGTCTGTAGTAGACAGAACTCCAAGATGGCCCCATGATCTCCAGGCTGTATAACTCCTGCCCTTCAAATGTGGGTGAAACCCATGATTTTCTTCTAACCTACACAACATGGCAAAAGTAATGGGCTGTCATTCTAAGTGGTACCTTATGTCATATAAGACTCCTACTTAACAGACCAGAGAGAGAGAATTCAGCTGACCTTGAAGAAGCAAAGAACCATGACGTGAAATGCCCATGGACAGAGCCACACACGAGCCCACGGCCCTGACTCAACACCTTGTGAGTCTCATAGCATAACACTGTCCCAGACTTTTGACCCACAGGAATGTGTCATAATAAGTGGGTGCTGCTTGAAACTACTGTTTATGGCTCTGTGTTATGCAATGATGCATAACTGATACCCTGATGGAGCATGTAAAGGAAATGACTGACCCATCTCTGTGGGAGAAGCTAGCCTACCATCTGCTGAGGCCCACTGTCACCTTGGGGTAGAGGAAGCTTGGATAGTATGATCTCTAAGGGACCTCACTCCCAAAGCCCCCAGGTCCGATGGAAATAGGGCAGCCTGCCAACTCACCTTGAATTTCAAGCCAGCCAGTTGCTCTCTGGGTCTCATTGCCTGTGTCCACCCTTACAGTGTAGTTCCCTGTGTCATTAAATGCAGATCTCCTGATCACCAGGTCACCCAACTTGGTCACATTCTCCCGGCCACTGAACATAGGCCCAGATAGCCAGGAATTGGAGGGAGGTTTGTAGCTGACAATCATATTTTCCACAGTGTCTTCTGCACCGCGGTGCCAACTGTATTCCTGAGCATCTTGGGTGGCATTCTCGAGGACCAGGACAGTCCGAAATCCCTTGACTCCTATAAGTGAGTCTGGGTTGATGAATATTTGGCCAAAGGCTTGGTGGATCCCACAGGCCAGCAGACTGGCTGAAGAGGACAAATAGAATACACATACATGAGAGAGAGAGAAAAGAGAAAGTGAGAAGAGAGATTGATTTACACCATCCAGGCAATGATCCCCAGGGACAGTGGTGAACAAGCCATGAGTTTTTAGCTCTCCTGCTTGTCTCCTCCTCCCCATCCCCTCAGCTTCTGCCCTGGTCCATTCCATCCTCATCCTCTTCCAGCCTGGCTTCCTCCTTGGACACTCAGTCTCAAACCCATCCTCATATGACAGTTAGGCGGATCTTTATAAAGACCCAGTTATGACCCTGCTCTCCCCCTGTTCAGGTACCTTCCATGACTCCCTGGCACTCCACAGATAAAGTTCGAACTCAGCATGGTGTATAAGACAGTCTTAGAGAGAGCTAGTCTTTTTTTTTTTTTTTTTTTTTTGAGAGAGCTAGTCTTTATGACTCTCATCTAGTCTCCTTTTGGATCACACCAACCCCACTTCATTATCCCATGAACTCCCTTATTCATGTGTGCATTTATGCATTCATTTATCAGAAGACACAGTATCTATACTGTGTGCCCCAGACATAGATAGCTCTCTTGATACCACATTCTCTCTTTTTTTTTTTTTTTTAATCTATGATAGGCACACAGTGAGAGAGAGAGAGGCAGAGACACAGGCAGAGGGAGAAGCAGGCTCCATACACCGGGAGCCTGACGTGGGATTTGATCCCGGGTCTTCAGGATCGCGCCCTGGGCCAAAGGCAGGCGCCAAACCACTGCGCCACCCAGGGATCCCACATTCTCTCTTTTGACTTCAGGCTTTCACACATGCTGTTCCCTGTTTCTGGCACACAGATCCCTGCTCCCTCCTCCCCATCCCCATCCCCTTTGTCAGCTCACTTCTACTCATCTTTAAGTTCTCAGGTCTGATGTCCCCTCCTCCCTAGTCTGGGTCAGGTGGCCCCTTAGGGCTCCCCCAGCCTCCTGGGCCACTTCATCCCCATCCCTGTCACTCTGAGTCATCAGAGTCTGGAGATAGATCTCATCTCACTCTAGACTCTGAACTCTATGAGGCTGTCTCAGCCACCACCACATCACAGCACCTCTGAGCATGGGGCAGAACCTAGTGAGAGTGCTTGGCTGATATCAAGGGTGGGTGGATAAAGCCCCCCAAGACTATCTACACATGTCTTTGACTTAGCATCTAAATTCATTGGAGTGCATGTGAATGTGGGTAACAATCTGTCGTCATCTAAGACGTGGAGATCCATTGTCTGTGTAGCCAGACACAGACTGGCTACTTCTGTGGCTGCTTTGAGGCAAAGACACCTGAGACTCTCCCCTCTCCCGACTCCAGGCCACAGGGTAGCCAGCAAGACATGAGAGTTGTCCCTGTCAGTGGGGCTGAGAGGTTCCTGGAGAGAAGTGAGGGGTTTGGAAGGAGTCCAGCTAGAGAGGTGGGGGAGGGGATCAGGGCAGACTAGGCACCCAGAGGAGATGTTTTCTGAGTGGGGGTCCAGGTTCATCACTCCTGAGGGTGGATGGGGATGAACACCGTGCGTACACGTGTGTGTGTGTGTGTGTATGTGTGTAAGAGAGAAAATGTTTCTATAGGTGAAGTACGCCCAGGTCTGTGAGCTCATGAAAGTCCCAATGCCAGCCCTGCCCCCCTCTCCTCTACCACTCCACTGTCCTGTGGGTTCAGCTCTCTTACCTAGGAGAACCAGTTTCCTCCATGGTCTGCATCTGGGTCTGGAAGGATCCATGGGTTCCACAGGTCCTCCTGGGCTAGGTGTCTGTCCAGGGGCTGGACAGCCTCCTCTGCTTCTTCACAGAAGAAAGCATCTCTGGCTTTGGGCTGCTAGTCCCCACCCTCTTCCTGCGCCCCAGGGTGGACTCTGAACAATGGTGCAGGAGGGACTAGGGAGGAGATGCTTGGGGAGTTGTTATCTTTATGACTCTAGGGTGCTTTTAGCTTACTATTTACTCACCTCATTTTTTTAAAGGTTATTTATAGCATTATTTAAGCTTATTTATACTTGGTTAAAAAAAGAAACCCTTATGCTCACTTTTAGGAAAACTGGAAAATACTGAAAAGCACAATAAATATGAGACATCAGACTTTTTGAACATGGACAGTTATTCATTTTCATTTTTCCTGATCCCTGCAAAACTCAAATTTTAAATTGTGTTGTGTCATTTGATGAGGGGCTGCTTCTCCCTCCCTAAAACCAACAGCTTATTCTAAGTCTCTCTCCAGGTCAGCAGATCTTCCTCCACCTTGACATTTGGAGTGGCTGCTGGGTGTGCTATTGTGTGCCTAGGCCAAAATGTATAGAACCCATTCCCTTGTGTTGGATCTTCAAAGTTAGTAATAGAAGTACTACAGAGACAGACCAGAGTGTGCTCATGGGGGCGAGGCACTGATCATGTGGGATGTGTCTGCATCTGGATACTCCACGGAGAAAAGGGAAACATGGGGACACAGAGATCCAGACAGGCTAACTGAGAAGGCAGGCAGAGGGGAGACCCCAGAATTAGTCAATCGACAAGTCTTTCAAGCTGGACTTAGGAGTATGTCCGTCTTTCATTTTCATGACAACAACTACTACTTTTTTTTTTTTTTTAAGATTTTATCGATTTATTCATGAGAGACACAGAGAGAGAGAGAGGCAGAAACACAGGCAGGGGGAAGCAGGCTTCCTGCAAGGGCCCAATCCAGGACCCCAGGATCACGACCGGAGCCAAAGGCAGCGCTCAACCACTGAGCCACTCAGGTGCCCCCCCAACAAATACTATTTTCATTTCAAAATCAATGCATGGGTCATACAAGTTTTGGAAAATTCTTTTTTTTTTAAAGGTTTTATTTACTTATTTGACAGAGAGAGGGGGGGAGCATGAGCAGGGGGAACAGCAGGCAGAGGGAGAAGCAAGCAGGCTTTCTGCTGAGCAGGGAGCCCAATGTTCAATCCTGGGACCCTGGGATCATGATCTGAGCCTGAAAGCAGATGCTTTACTGACTGAGCCACCCAGGCACCCCTGGAAAATTCTTAAGAAAGAAAAATAGAATTAATACTCTCTTAGGGGGCGCCTGATTCAGCCATTTAAACACCTGCCTCTAGCTCAGGTCATTATCTCAGACTCCTGGGATCAGCCCTGCATTGGGCTCCCTGCTCAGCAGGGAGTCTACTTTCCCTCTCCCTCTGCCTCTTCCCCTTTGCTCATGCTTTCTCTCTCAAATCAATAAAATCTTTTAAAAAAATACTCTTTTAGTTATTAATTTCAATTGTTTTAAACTATTATGAATACTTATCTAAATATATATGTGAACATTTTAATATTTATAATAAATATTTAAATATACCTACACATATTTATACATTCATAATTTTTACATTTATAAATAAATAAATAAAACACTTTATAAATAAAATATATAATTATTTATCAGAATTTAATTACTACTATTAAAAAGTCACCTGTAACAGATCACCCAGAGATAAAACCAGAGTTTTTATCTGAAACTTTTCAGCGTTTTAAATTTTATTTTTATTTTATTTTTTTGTATATTTTTTATTGGAGTTCTATTTGCCAACATACAGTATAACACCCAGTGCTCATCCTGTCAAGTGTCCCCCTCAGTGCCTGTCACCCAATCACCCCATCCCCCCAGCCACTTCCTCTTCCACTATCCCTTGTTCGTTTCCCAGAGTTAGGAGTCTCTCATGTTTTGTCATCCTCTCTGATTTTTCCCACTCATTTTCTCTCCTTTCCCCATAATCCCTTTCATTTTTTTTAGATTCCCCGTATGAGTGAAACCATATAATTATAGTCCTTCTCCAATTGACTTACTTCACTCAGAATAATACCCTCCAGTTCCAACCATGTCGAAGTAAATGGTGGGTATTCATTGTTTCTAATGGCTGAGTAATATTCCATTGTATACATAGACCACATCTTCTTTATCCATTCATCTTTTGATGGACACCGAGGCTCCTTCCACAGTTTGGCTATTGTGGACATTGCTGCTAGAAACATCGCAGTGCAGGTGTCTCAGCTTTTCACTGCATCTGTATCTTTGGGGTAAATCCCTAGCAGTACAATTGCTGGGTCGTAGGGTAGCTCTATTTTTAACTCTTCGAGAAATCTCCACACAATTTTCCAGAGTGGCTGCACCAGTTCACATTCCCACCAACAGTGCAAGAGGGTTCCCCTTTCTCCACATCCTCTCCAACATTTGTTGTCTCCTGTCTTGTTAACTTTCACCATTCTCACTGGTGTGAGGTGATATCTCATTGTAGTTTTGATTTGTATTTCCCTGATGGCAAGTGATGCAGAGCATTTTCTCTTGCGCTTGTTGGGCATGTTTATGTTTTCCCTGGTGAAATTTCTGTTCATGTCTTTTGCCCATTTCATGATTGGATTGTTTGTTTCTTTGCTGTTGAGTTTAAGAAGTTCTTTATAGATCTTGGATACTAGCCCTTTATCTGATATGTCATTTGCAAATATCTTCTCCCATTCTGTAGGTTGTCTTTTAGTTTTGTTGATTGTTTCTTTAACTGTGCAGGTTTTTTATCCTGATTAAGTCCCAATAGTTCATTTTTAATTTTGTTCCCCTTGCCTTCATAGATGTATCTTGCAAGAAGTTGCTGTGACCAAGGCATTCAAATTGGCAAAGAAGAAATCAAACTCTCCCTCTCCGCAGATGACATGATACTGTACATAGAAAACCTAAAAGACTCCACCCCAATACTGCTAGAACTCATACAACAATTTGGCAGTGTGACAGGATACAAAATCAATGCCCAGAAATCAGTGGCATTTCTACACACTAATATTGAGATTGAAGAAAGAGAAATTAAGGAATCAAACCTATTTACAATTGCACCCAAAAGCATAAGATACCTAGGAATAAACCTAACCAAAGAGGTAAAGGATCTATACCATAAAAACTACAGAACATTTCTGAAAGAAATTGAGGAAGACACAAAGAGATGGAAAAATATTCCATGTTCATGGATTGGAAGAATTAATATTGTGAAAATGTCAATGCTACCCAGGGCAATTTACATGTTCAATGCAATCCCTATCAAAATACCATGGACTTTCTTCAGAGAGTTGGAACAAATCATCTTAAGATTTGTGTAGAATCAGAAAAGACCCCAAATAGCCAGGGGAATATTGAAAAAGAAAACCAGAGCTGGGGGGCATCATAATGCCAGTTTTCAAGTTGTACTACAAAGCTGTGATCATCAAGACAGTGTGGTACTGCCAAAAAAAAAAATAGACACATAGATCAATGGAACAGAATAGAGAACTCTGAAATGGGCCCTCAACTCTATGGTCAACTAATATTCGACAAAGCAGGAAGACTATTCACTGGAATCGTTTTTTTTTTTTTTTTAAGAAAAAATTTAATTTATTTATTTAAGAGAGAGAGAGCACGAGCAGGGGGAGAGGCAGAGGGAGAAGCAGACTCCCCGCTGAGCACGGTGTCTAAAATGGGGTTCAATCCCAGGACCTGGAGATCAGGGCCTCAGCCAAAGGTAGACACTTAACCGACTGAATCATGCAGGCACTCTGAAACTTTTCAGTTTTGATATGTAATACATACTCATGCACATATGCATATTTTTACCAAGGTGGTATCATACTATTCAATACCCTTCTTTATTTTGGCTTCTCTAATATTAAACCCAAGTTTAGTCAGAGGAGGGTAAATACACACCTCAGAGTGTCCAGAGGTTTATTCAGTATCTCTGAAGTCTCCTGCTATGTTCTGAAAACCCATATGAATATTTGCAGCATACTGCAAAACACATCTGTATTTGTTTTAATAGGAAAATAATACATTATGTGTATTGTATTGTATACAATATGTATATGTATACAATAATACATTATGTGTATTGTATTTCAACACATTGAAAGTGTTAATTGGTCCTCCTTAGTATTTGACTATAGCTGATGCCCCCGAAAATACATGAAGTTGTTTTTCTGCTTGTAGCTCATTTGAAGCCCTTCCTCCTATGTCTTCATTGTAGTTCATGGCTGTATAGTATTCCATTGCGGTGGCCATGGATTGATTTGTTCAACCAATATCCATTTGGGAGCATTTAGGTTCTTTCAATGTTTCCTCTTTCTATACAAACAGCTGTATAACAACTTTTGGCCAGTACCATTTGTGGAGGTAGATGGGTCCCAGAAATGGGTTTTTGAGGTAAAGAATTTAACCTTAGAGGCACCTGGGTGGCTCAGTGGTTGAGCTTCTGTCTTTGGCTCAGGTTGTGATCCCAGGGTTCTGGGACTGAGTCCCGCATTGGGCTCCCTGCAGGGAGTCTGCTTCTCCCTCTGCCTATGTCTCTGCCTCTCTCTGTCCCTCATGATTAGGTAAATAAAATCTTTAAAAAAAATAATTCAACCTTAGCCAAGACACACCCGACTTTGTCCTTGGCTCCTGGAAAGAATGTCTAAGTCCTTAGAATGCCCTGTCTGATAAGAGTGTCTTTATCTGGGGGCCTGGGAGCACACTAGATATTCCACAAATGAAATTAAGATGAAGGCTTTGGGTCACATGGTATCAGCTCTGCTCCTGGAGAGATTGGAGACTGAGGTCATCTACGTGAGCCGTGAATCATATCAATGTGACAGAGCCCCAATAAAAATTCTGATGTCAAATCTCAGGTGAGTTTCCCTGGTCAGCATGCTGTCACACACTAGTGCTGGAAGAAGCTAACGCGTCTGTGCCTCATGACTCCACTGGAAAGACAAGTGGAAGCCCCGCATTTGGGATTCCCCTGGACCCTTTCCCATACCCTTCTCCCTTTCACTGACAG